AGCCGGCTGGAGCCGGCAACCGCCTTGTCCTCCTTCGTTTCGCGTTTTGTCGAATATACAATTGTAAGTTTAACATTTATTACTTGCAATAAAACGGTTATAAGCAGCCTTTATTAAAATTTTATATACGTGAATAATATATGGTTTTAAGTATGATAAAGAAAATTTGGTTATGAATACGCAGTATATAGCTATAAATTAGGTCTTTATTTTGTAAGTACAACGCAGATTGTACAGTTCGGTGCAGTGAAGTTTTATTAATTATTTTCTCCTTTTTGTCTTTTTTTGCCTCTCAGAGCCTACCTCTATCCGTCGCCCCGTCTCATCGAAAAGCCGGCAACCGTTTTATTGCCCTCATCTTTCGTTTCGTATTTTGCCAAAGGTTATTTTGTACAAGTTCTACAATCCAAGTGAGTATCATAAATGTTATATTATAGTTCTTAAAAATGCCTAAAATAAAAAGAAAATATTATAAACGTGCAAAAGAGATAGCTGATGCATCTATTGATATCGTGCAGTCTGTTGATTCTAAAAGTAAATAATTAATTGACTTAAAAATATTCTTATCTTTGCTTGATATATATATATGCTTCAGCTGCAGGAGAAGCATACAATGAAGCATTCACAAAAAAAGTTTTAGAAGAATCTATAAAAAAATAGCTAAGGAGAGCGAAAGAAAGATCCGATGCAGATGAAAAAAAACTTGCAAACCAAGAACGTATTGAATAATCACTAATTGTAATATGTTGACGCCGTAAGTGTTTCAGACTGCAAGTTGTAATTCATCACCAAATAATATTGTATTTGTAAAAATATTGTATTTTTTATTCTAGGCTGTGAAAAACGAAGTGAACGTGTTTGAAAAATTTTGTGGAAACTTGGATGTTGTATTCAACAACATTAGACATGTGTACAAAGTCTAAAAGCGTTCTTCCCATTAGAAACCTGCTTACTTTGCGTCAGCCAGAAAACATTCTTTCTACAAAATTATAGCATTATTTTTTAGCTATGTGTCTGTCTCATTTGAAAAATCGCGATTCTACTATTACTACTACTTTACTCCGTCTAGAGAATGAACATATTTAAAGGGTTGCCGCTTTGTCGCATAAGTTAATATCTTTAATATCTTTCATATCTTTAATATCTTTAAAATCTAATCTCAACTGTATCCGAGAAGCACGTATAGCGACGTGTATGCTTTGTAGTTTTACGCACAGATCTCGTGATTTTTTCGATTTGATTGACGGATTTCATCCCATTTTTTTTTGTTTTTATAAGATTATGAGCTGTAAACGCGAGTAAATATACAATAATGGATATTAAGGGCCTTACGTGAAGATGGACGAGCAAACGTATGAGGTATAGAAATTTGATATTATAAAGTATAGCAGCGAAATTCGAGGGAGGTAGACTGGCGTTATACGTTATGTTGCGAAAGATGTGTCGAATAGACTTTATATAGTTTATATAGTTTATATAGTTACCAAAGCTTATTATGTAGCATCCAATTAATAAAATATTGGTTAACATAAAAAAATCATATTTTTTTATGAACTATTGTATATTCAACACTTAGCGATAAAAAACACAATTATTTGATTTTTGTTTACAGTCGTT